TTGGGATTTGGGATTTGGGATTTCGGCATTTGGGATTTCGGCATTTGGATTTTGAATTTGGGTGGCAGGTATAGGCTGTACTGTATTGTACGAATTTTATAGGTATTGTACGATTTTTATACAAAATTTATGTAAAATCATACAGTACAAAATAGCTTTTCGTACCGTACAGTTTATCGTCATACTGATAAGAATGAGTATTAAAAGAGATATTATTATATTACAGTAGTGGTCATAAGTATCCAATCTCCTGTATAAATAAATACTAAGTTATAAAAACTCCTCAAATTTTCCAAGTATAAAGTGTGACACAGCACCTGATCACCAGTACTTTTACAGGATCGTGTGATATTTTTGAATGCTCATCTGATGTTACACTACAAAAATGAAACTTTTTCTTGAAAAATGATATAAAATAATTTTTTTACATGAACACCCAGTAGGACTGAAGTAGGGTTTTGCAAAAATAGCAACCTATATTCACTGTTGTAAGACCACAGTTATTTATTGGATCAAAAAATACCGTAAAAATAAAGATCTAAATGATGAAGGAAAGTCAGGTCATTCGCGATGCACAACTGAGAAGCAAGATAAACAAATGATAAAGATGGCGAAGGCAGAACACAATATAACAAGCAATCAAATAAAAGAAAAAATGAATAAACATGGTGCTGAGGTTAGTGTAAGAACAGTAAGGCAACACCTTCATGAAGCTGGAGGCAAATATATTAATGAAATTTTAAAACCTTTATTTACGAAGAACCAGTGGGAAAAATGACTACAGTGGGTGAAGAAACATTAAGACTTTAATTGGAATCGAGTTATTTTTATAAATGAAAGAACTTTTCAACTATTTCCACAAAAAAAAAAGGTTTGACAGTTTGTTGGGAGGAAAAAATATTTCGTACTGTCAAGCATCCACAAAAAGTCCATATATGGAGGTATTTTTCAATTTTGGAATTTGGTAAATTGGTATATTTTCAAAGAAACCTTAATGCCGATTTTATGTGTAAAGTATATGGGAAGGGATTTTTACCTTTTGCCTCTGAGTTTTTTAGTGGAGATAACTTAGACTGGTTTCTTCAAGAAGACAATAATTCCAAGCACTGGTCAAAAATTTGTGCAAAATGAAAAGTGGAAAAGAAAATTAAGGTACTTCCCTGGTTGTCAATGTCACTGGATCAAAATTCTATAAAGAATATTTGGAGATTAATGAAGATAAACATAGCAAAAAAAAAAATTCAAACAGCTAAAAGTTTAAAGGGAGAATTAGTAAAGAAATGGTACCATCTCTCATCCGATCTTACTGAAAAATTGGTAAATAGTATGAAACATCATGTATTAGCACTTATAGATTTGAATGGAGACTATACAATGTATTAATTATCATTGTTAGTCATATACTTTCACTGGTCGAAAATTGATAAATAATATACATATCGGGTACCCGATATGTGTATTATTTATCAATTTTTAACCAGTGTTTTTAATAAAAAAATTTTATTAAATATACTTATCCATGAGGGAAATTAGGGGGGTCGGATACTTATGGCCACTACTGTAATTACTTTGAACCTTTTTGAAATCTCTTCTGTTCTTAAGATCAAGAGAGCTTATATTTATATTCCTTTAACCATGGAATCTACTAATTTATAATTATACTAATTTTGACAAGAGGTAATTAACCTGTTACAAATGTATATACAATGTATAATTTATCTAGGTGATTCACCTGGGTGAATCATCTGTTACACATATATGACTATCTAAATCTACTGATTATATCTATACTAATAAATAAATATATAAAATAATAAATAACTATCCCTTAATCTGTCAAGCAGGCAAATTTTCCTACTAAAACATAGTAGCATGTGAAAACTGACAGTTCAAGAGATAAAGATAATTAATAAATAAAATTGAGTTTCACAATATATTGAAGATTTACAAATTTTTATATAGGCCTTCAGCAAATATTTTGTGTGATTGTAATTGTAAATATATCAGGATGAAAATATAAAGTATTTAAATGTGATATAGGTGTGAACTTCAGATTAATTTTTCTCTGGGCTTTGCCTTAATTATGTAAGCAATTAGATAGTGTAGTTGATCAATTCAATCCACCTGGTGTCTAAGTTAAGATTTCATGAAAAGGGGTTCAAGATCTAATGACCTGAACCCCTTGGGATCTAGGATAAGTGTGTAATATATATGAAACTTAAAAATATACAAATATACTCAATTACATCTGACAAATGGTTTCTCATTAAACTTTATTTGAAAAGAATAATAATTATTGCATTTTAAATATATACATCTATGTACAAAATATATTTAACATTGATATGAATAATTAATACAATAGAATACACTAAAATACAATAAAGATAATTTACATTTGAAAGTAATGAAAGAAACGAAAGAGTAATAATAAATAATAATAAAAAACTACAATAATAATAAATAATAATAATAATAATAATAAATAAATAATGATAATAATAAATAATGATAGTAATAATAATAATAATAATAATAATAATAATAATAATAATAATTAAATAACTTTAACTACTTTAAATACTTCATAATCTTCAATTTCAAAACATCCTTCTTCATGTAATTGTGAATTATAATTTTCTCTAAGATAACATTTTACTTTATTATTACTACATAATCTTAAACAAAAGAAATTTGGGCCACTTGATTGATGTTGTCGGATAGTATTACAACCTTCTTTGGCTCGAATGATTTTTGAATTTTTTGTACTTTGTTTGGGATTAATTGTGTAATAATAAAGATTTGAAGAAGAATCAGAAGAATTATAATAATTATGTTGAGAAATATCATTCAAACTTGATGTACTGGAATTTTTACTTGCAAAATTATGATTATGATTACGATTATTATTATTATGATGATTATGATTACGATTATTATTATTATGATAATTATTATTCTTCTTACGATTATTATTATTATTACAATTATTATTGTTGTTGTTGTGGTTGTTGTCATTTATTTTGTTATTATTATAATGATGTAAAATATTAGTATTAATGACGGTACAATGATCAAAACTAAATAAAAATCCATCCATTGAACTTTCATAAACTCGAGGATGGATAGATTTCCATGGTAATGGATTATAACCACCAAGAATCTTGCCTGATTCAACTAATTTAAATAGTACAACTGTTGGTCCTTGATTATCACATAGTTTATGAAAAATATCGGAACTAAATCCATCTCGAGTTCCTCTTAAAAGTAATTTAAATTCAAAAGATTCATTTTTTGACATAAATATTTTAGATGAATTAAATTGATCTCTTTGGTTATGTTGGTTATGGTGAGAAGAAGGAGGAGAAGTAGAAGAAGAAGTAGAAGAGATTTCATGTTCATAATTTCTATAATTGAAATCTCTAGGAAATATAGCTGATAATGAACGCGCTATTCTTGAATTATTATTGTTGTCGTTACCGTTAAAGATAGCTGACATTGGTCGTTCTCTTCTTAAATTATTATTGTTGTTGAAAATGGCAGACATTGGTCGTTCTCTTCGTCCCCCTCTTAAATTGATATTATTATTATTATTATTATTATTATTATTATTATTATCATCATTATTATTATAGTTATTATAGTTATTATTATTGTTATTATTATTGTTATTCAAATTATTATTTAAATTATTATTAAAAGAAAGGAATTCATTACTTTCTCTATTTGAATTTCTTCTATTACCCTTTAAGAATGTATTGGAAATCTTTTTAACTAAACTAGTGGATGATGATAAATTATCTCTATTTATCCAACTAATAATTAATTTCACTTGTTCTTCATTTAACATCATTGATTCAATCTTCTGTGGCATTAAAATTACTTCGGGTTTTAATTTCCAATTAATAAAATTATTTAATGATTTAATCGATGAATGTTTTAAGTGAATTTGATGATAAATGTTTGCATCCAAAATAAATGCATAAGGTTGAACTTTTTGATAAAATTCTTTAACGCTCATTTCATTAAATTTTATTAATGAAATACATTCCTTTAAAGTGCGTTTAAGTTTTTCAAAATCTTGTGCATTCCAATATATTAAGTTTGTGGGTAATTCGGAATGTTGATAAATTCCCCAGCGAAGAACGTAATCCCATATTTTTCCTTGACTCAATAATGAAGTTAATTCTTTTCTTTGTAATATTGATAATAATTCTGTTTCATCGAGACAATAAAATTTCGGAGATGTAAATAATAATTGAGGATTCGGATTCTTGGTCACAGTTTCAAAAAAATAATCGAAAAGTTTAGAAAGAGAAGAATGATGAAAACATGTTTGATAAATTATTATTAAATTCTTACGAATCCATTTTGAATGTTTATCAATTAAATAAGACTGTAATGAATCAAGAAGATATTGAATACATAATTCATCACAAGCGATTAACAATTCAAGAATTTGTTCGATAGAAAGATTTGAAATATTTAATATTCCACTATAAATATATCTGCGATAAAATAATATATAAAATAATATATAAAATTTTATAAAAATTAATTGAGTGAAATATGCAGTATATTTATTATATAATATTACATTCATATATTGATATTAATAAAAATAAAAATAAAATAATTTTCACACCTCAAAATTACATCGAATATAATTGGTTTAATATTCGGTTTTTCAAAAATCATTCTTCCACTATCTTCCGTCTTTACCCAACTATTTCCAAATGCCGCATTAAAATATTCACATCTCACTCTTAATATTATAGAGTGAGCATAAAATAATTGAACATTTGGTTCTTGACCAACTTTTATCATTACATTGTAATCATCATATAATTTGTTTTTGTCAAAGAATGTATTATTGTTATTATTGGAATTATTGGAATTATTGGTGTTATTATCATTATTTTTGTTGTTGTGGTTGTTGTCATGGTTATGATTGATATAGTTATATTTGCAAGAATTGGTGTTATCCAACAATTTGGAGAAATCTTGAGAAAGAATTGTTAAATATTGTTGTTGTATTGTCATCGTGTATATAATTAATGTTGTTGAAGTTCTTATTTAACCACTTATTTTCAAATAAAATATAATCCCAATATAATCCAATATAAATCCGATGCAATCCTCAATTATTATGAACCCTCAATTATTGTTAACGTTTCGAAAAAAAAAAAGAAAGACAATAAAAAGAAAACCTTAATCTAAAAAAAAAAAAATTAAACCTAAAAAGAATATAAATCATTATAAATTGCATCAACTGTATATATTTGTAAATATTGCATAGAAATATTTTGGTGTAACTCGTATGGATGTAAGCGATTTAACTCCGATTAACTATTACTAAAATAAGATTTCTCTTATATTAATTTGTCTATTTATGGTATATAACCCTATTTCACTAATTATATTAATTATTCTACTGAATTAGGAAAAATAAATATTAATCAATTAACTAATTAATAAAAAATGAGCTTAATATCTCGTGTATTATTATAACTTTTGAATTTCAAAAAAGAGAAAACTTAATCTGGCCTGGGAGTCTAGACTCTTATCCTATCCCTCACGTTAAATGCGTGGAGTAGTGTATTTATCACGCAGAAACTCAATATTTGATAAAATTCGAATCTCTCGGGCCTAGAATAAAATCCTGAACCGGGGTTAGAATGACATGTGAATGAAAGGGATAAGAATAAATACTTATCTGTTATCAGACTATCGGGTTACAGCTGAGGTGCGTGATCTATTAATTGTTCGTTTGAGCATCAGTTGCAATGTGACGCATCGATACAAATGACGATCAACGGAGGATTTTACTTTTTTTTTTATTTTTTCGACTTCGCTCGCGATTTCCGAAGCGTAGAGCGATTTTACACTAATATATTACTAATATAGAAAGAAAGGCCTTATTCTTGGCTACAAAATTACATTCGCTTTATTGATATTCGCGGAGTTATTCGAAAAATATCTGCCATAAATTTTCCGTAATTCTGGCGACTTTAAACACGAATAACTCCGTAAATATCGATGTTATCTGGATGAAACACATATGGTTTTGTAGTCAATAATAAGGCATTTCATTCTATCTTAGAAATATCTTAGTAGAAAATCGTTCTACGCTTCGCAAATCGCCGAAAAAATGTAAAAAAATGCGAAAATCCTCCGTTGATCTTCGTTTGTTTCGAAAATCTTCCGCCTACCTACTGATGTTACACTATAAATATAATTAATTAACTTCGATGCAACGATGAACAATCGACAGGTTACGTGCTCACCTGACGATTTAATGTGCCACGTTACAACTGATGCACCGTAAAAATTATTTGGATGAAAATCGCAAATATTTGGATAATTTATTAGAAAAAAAAACAATTGAATGGATTTGGGTGCCTTTTATTTTTTGGAATTGGATTTGAAGGATTCTTGAAGTTCACGATGGATAAAGCATATTTTTTTTTAAAAAAAAGAAATTGAAATCGGTTTTTGAGTTTACGATAGATGAAGTATATTTTTTTTTTTTTTAAAAAAAAAAAAAATAAAATAAAATTAAAATCGATTTCGTGGATTTGGATATTTTTTTGTTATTTTTAAAATAATTCTCTTTTTGGGATGAATAAAGTATTTTTTTTTTTAAAATAAATATGTATTAATTTACAATAACTAATATATTTAAATATATTATCATGAGAAATTTTTTTAAAAAAATATTTTTAATTTTATTATTTAAACGTAATTCATTAAATTTGAGTATTTTATTTATTTTATTTAATTACATAAAAAATAAAAAATTATAAAATTATTCTTCATGAACGTAATCACCAAAAGTACTACTATCCTCTATAATTTTTCTTGCTTCCTCAAGTGTGATACCACCTTTGTCTTGAGAAATTAAACGTAATGCCATCTCTGGAACCATAATTTCTAATATATAATCAACTGGATTTTTAGGATAACTTAATTTATTTGTTAATATACAAGTGTGAAGAAAAAGTTGATTATTAAGTTCTTCAGTTTTAATATTCATTCCTCGAGTTCCATAATATCCTGGCTATAAATTAATTTAAAAGTTAATAAGAGTAATTTAAACTAATAAATAAAATTCAAATATAAAATTATATAAATCATTGTAACAATTTCTTTAAATTCTTCTTTTAAAATTGAATGAATAATAAATGGGCTGTATCCTGTACAATGAAAAAGTAAAATCTTTTCTTGTACTTCTAATGGAATTGTTCTTTCATTAGACATAAAATGGTTATGATTATCTGTTTCCATAGTATGACTGTGTTCTAAATGTGCTACGATAATATACCAAAGACCAATTTCAGCATTAAAAGAAGCACAAATTAAAAATTTACAGTTGCAACATTGTGATGCTCTATTTCTAATATTAGCACTGATAGATGTTTTTTCTGGGTCAACCTTCTCGACTAAATAGTATAGTTCTTTTACGAATAATTCCTTCTGCATTTTTTTCTACTTTTCCTAACCGAATTTGAAAACCTTTTTTCCTTTGCATATTCTTTAATTACTTTAACAAAATTATCATGAGAAGTATAGAAGTTACCTTCATTAGGCTCGATATTAGACATTATAAGAGTAAGGCAACTAAATTTTATTTAAGTGTAAACAATAATATTATAAACAATGTGGACCAAGGAGTTTAGAATAAAATCCTAGATCCCGGTTCAGGATAAAATCCTAAATCCCATTAAGATTGTCCAACTAATTTTGTTATATATTAAGTTGTATTACGTTACTTAAAAATAAAAAATCTATACCTTTGCTTGACGTACCTCACTGTAATCCGACGCGAGAATTAGTCATATTCAAAGTTCAATTCAGGAAATTGGTTGATGATATTTCCCGCATATCAAATAAAGATTTAAAATTTAATTCGTGGTCCATGAATCAACTTCAAAAACTGATATATAATTTTAGTGATAAGTGTATATATTTTTTACTAGTAATGTAGAATCTGAAAAAAATATGTAATAACTTCCTTCTATTAATCCTAGAGGCTTAAATTTCATCTTTTTATAAGCGCTAGATGAAAAGTTATCTTTAAAAGTTTCAAAATATTAAATTATATTTTTTTCCAAATTCAATTTTCAGTCTAATGACATACTTATAACATTAGCTTTTTACATACTTTATCTTATATATGTTACACCAAAATTATATATATGAATTTTTGCAGTTGACTCGCGATTACGAATTAATCTAAAACAAAATAATATAATATTTTCTTATTCCTGAAATACTATAATTATATCTTGTTTTTTCTTCTCGCTAAACAAAAGAATATCTTCGTTACACTTTATACGATTTATCCACCAATATCAAAAATCATTATATCAAATCTCATCCTATCTCCGTGAAAAATCTCTTCACTTCTACTTTGCATCTTGAAAATCATTAAATCTCTTTTTACAAATATCTTTATCACACCAAACTTTAACCCACGGTACCTTTAACAATACTGACGTCTTTGATCCCTTCTTCAATGACCCTAACACCTTTGACACTTTCTTCAAACACAATCATCAAATATCTTATGACTACAAAACCAGAATTCCCGACCGAAATTACTGCCTCTTCTTTCCTCCTCTTCGGGATCTTCACCACTTAAAACACTCCAAAAAGAAAAAGGGCTCAGTCCAACATCCACTATCATCTTCCATCTATTATTCAATCATCTCAATCATCTTAATTCTTCTCTTGGGCACTATTCCTCTTATTCGTATTCACATTTCTCATCATTAGAAAAAATGATCACCTCTATTCATTCATCTTCTCTTTCTTCTCCTTCTTTCTTCTTCTCTTTTTTCTTCTTCTTCTTTATTCATATTGGATACCATTCCTCCTCCACCTAGAATTCCCCCTCTTTCTCTTTATCTCTACTTTTCTCTTCCTTCATCGGCTATAACAACTTAATTCATCAACTTCTCGTGAAATTCTTACCGACGTCTGCGAAATTCTTGTATTAGTATCAGGTGCTTGTTAACTTTAATTTATTATCCTTTATTTCTATAATTATCGTCACCATCATTACTTTACCTATTTGGATTGTAATAATAATTCATGTAACAAGTATTTTTGGTTTTGCTTTTTACTTATATTTTACTTTTAATAGAATAGTTCGATCGGACCAATTGAAATCTCACAGGGAGGAACGTTGGACCATTTTTTAATTCCTTTTTTTTTTTTCTTTTTGTAAAGGCTGTTAATATTTTTTAATATTTTTTGTACTTTCTCTTTTGCTTCACATGGCTTTATTAATTTATAAAGTTATTTTCCCGGAAAAAATATATTTTATAAAAATTGTCTTGCCGATTATGTAACTATCGTTTAAAGATTATATTTCGTAAAAAAAATATCCTTGTGCCCTAGGTTACAAAACTCATTTTTTCGTATACTGTAAAAAAAATTGAGTTCAAAATAAAATTACAATAAAAAAAAGTTAATATCATTATAAAAACACGAATATTTTGGTTAAAATTAAATATTTGAAAATATTTGTGTTAAAAAATCCGTGAATGCATACTGTTGGGATAAACAGTTATTATTCCTTGTGTTTATAAGATATCTCAACAAAATTTGAAATCTAAAATACTTTTTGAATAATCATTTAAAGGAAGACTAAAAATATAAGTATGAAATAGAATTTTTTTGAATTTTACCTAATAATAATTTAGAAGCACTTGCATTGACCAAAGTACTTAAAATTCTATAATAATATGTGAAAGAGGAAAACATCAAATCTTTTTTTCTCGCGTTTCAAGTTAGATTAACAAAAATCAAAAATATTAGGTGGACCCTTACCTATTCACCAAGCTTAGACAATTAGACAATTTACTTTAACAAAATACCAAAAATACAGAAAATACACAGTGAAGTCTCTATACAAAAAAAAAGTAGTTTTTTTTTATAAAACAGAAAAATTTCATAGTTATAAAGAATTAGAAACGTTTTACTTGTTAAATCGAAATTATTGTGTACAATACATATTTTCGAGAATGATAAGAAAGGGAACTTTGTTGTTTCTTTTATATAAAATATCAGTTATTTGTGATAAGGTAATATGTAGATCATTTCACGTGGTTAATGATAAAGTTATTGTTCATTTTTTTTCTTTGCATTTATTTAACTTCCCAATTTACCGAACAATTCAAAAATTATTCCATCCAACCTTCATCAAATACATTTGATTGTGAAACACCAAATTCATCAAAAGAATGTGTACATATGTCATTCTTGAAATCAAAAAGCCAAAAAACTTAAATATTGCTCACGGACAAAACAAAAAAAAACCTTAAATCTTAAATTATATACTATTTTAGTATCTAGTAATGCTGATTAATAAATCATATGACATCCCATTCCAAATATATACAACTTAATTTTCCTTATACGTATTCATATATTACATAATAATGCTTAAATTATTATTATTATATCGTAGGTCGACCTCCTCCTTTTTACAATTTCAAATATCGGTATCTCCCATCCAATCATCCAATGTTATTCGTTCAATTACTCCCAGCATGACAATAATAATCATCTTGTTGTTCACATTGTAGTTGATTTTGAAATGAATTTTCAGTTTGTTGAAAGTCGTTTGCAAATCGTCCATATAATGAATTCCACGATGTTGCTTTTGGATGTTCACCTCCCGAATTATTTAAATTATTTAATATGGAAACACTATTTAAATTATCAAAACTATTTAAATTATTTAAATTATTTAAATTATTTAAATTATTTAAACTATCTAAGGTTTCAACACTATTTAAATTATCAAAACCATTATTTAAATCATTTAAATCATTTAAATCAGTTAAATCACTTAAATGATTTACTTGGTGTATATATATATTTGAATTGTTCAATGAACTGATCATCATGTGATCGCCGGAATTAAACTTATGTAGTAAGGACTCAAAAAGCGTGATTATTAATTCGATCTCTTCTTGATTTGTAATAAATGATATGCCGATAGATTCGTTTGATTTTTTTATTCTTATCTTCCTAGATATACAAATGGAAGTCCAAAATTGCGAAATTTCTCGTGATATATTTGTACTAAAATAATCATCTCTCGTTAAAATCGAAAATGACGCTGCAAGTAAATCCGTCACATAACTCCTCAATGATATGTCATGCTGATGCAACTTCAACAAATAAATCAGAATTTGTATTGATATTCTTAAACAGAAATAGCTCCAATGTGAATATGGAACAAATTGTTTATATTCTAATAACATCATAGCATTTCTCGTAATCTCCTTGGATGCTTTTAAAAGATTATTCACATTTCCCAATAGAATACTAATAGTTTCATAATACATATTTTCAAGTAACGATTTTATGAACTTGATCGTCTGAATATTATTATTACTACTAAATGTTTGATATTGGAATTCTTGTAATCTCAGAGATCCGTGCATCCAACAATCCAATGGATTTTTTCCATTAAGTATATATTGAATAATTTTCCAATATTTTACTAAGATCTTAAATTCAGTGATAACATTACTTTGGACATAATGACTTTTGTTTAATCCATATCGACATTGAAGTATTTCTTCTTGATTATTTACATTGTAACCTTTCTTAATGATTTCGATTTCTCCACCTTGTCCATCTTCATAACGAGGAAGATCTGGATGATTTTCATCCAAATCAACATTCATAATAGCAAATACCCAATAAGTTCTTCGAAAGAGCTCGTGTTCCCAAATTTTAGATGTATCACCAAATACCATAGAATTATGATTGTTATTTTTTATTTCTTCCCAGGTTTTTCGCATCCAGGTTTCAACTTGCGACGAATGATTTTTGTGAAATCCTAACCACGTACACCAATATAAAATGCAACTAGCTTGAAATTTTTCCAATGATGACCCGCTACCACTTTCGAGTTCACCATTCAAAAATGATTTTGTGAATTCGATATATGATTTCGTATTCGACGAAATATTTGTAATATTTAAAGCTCGTAGATCTATACCACTTTTATTTAAGAAACAGATACAAGCTGAATATATTGAGTACAGTAATACAGCTGATGGTTTTCTATATGTTGAATAATATTGAGCCAAGAATATTATTTGATTTAGAACAGGGGTAAATTCGTGAAGATATGAAAAATAAAAATTAATTAGAAATTCGGATTGAAATTGGGTAAGAACTGGAGGATTAAGATGATCTTTCTCCTTGAATTGAGATCTTAGCGTACTCTTCTCGACTGCTTTATTACCAATATTATTGTAATGAGTTTGTTTTGATTTTGATCCTTGAAAAAAGAAAACAAAAGGTTAATAAGACCTAAAAAAATTTAATTCATATGACAAAATTGTTGTAAACATATGATTAATTACAAAAACCTCATTGATAGAAAACCCAAAATTTTAAGATAGTTTTTTTTTTTAATGAATAACAATTCACATACAACAAAATAAATGTAAGAAAATGCTAGAATGAAAAAGATTAATGAATTGACTTTAAAACTTATTAAAATAAATGCATACCTTCACGTGATTGTAATTCGCTTGAGTAAATAGAATGACATTGATTATTATTAGAATGAATATGACTTATATCTCTAAATTTTGATGATGATATAGGATGATATAAATATTTTCCAGTTTCTTGTTTAACTCTTGGACGGGGACCTCGTTTCCTTTGTTCTTGGTTAAAGCAACAGCACAAATTTTTCTCTTGACATTTATCACATACAGGTGGTCCAGAACATTTCACTTTTTTTTGTTGACAATTTTTGCATGCAACTGTAACTTTAGTTCTTGTGGAGTACATGAGATATTGATAATAATATAAATATATATAATATATAATAAAATATATATAATATATAATAAAATATATAAGAAATATTATTTTTAAAATAATAATTATGGACTTTTAATTACTTAAAAAATTATTCGACATAATAAGTAAGTTTAAAACGACATAATAAAAAATGTAAAAATATGTAAAAAAAAAAACCGAAGACTTTAATTTTTCATTTTTTATGAGGGTATATTTATATTATAATGTTTTCTGGGGGTTTGTTATTCGTTTTTTGGGGGTTAACACATAATTTTCAAGACCCTGAGCGAAAATAAAAACATATGTTCGAAAATAAAATTCTTACTCGACCAATAACAAACGGTCTTCTTTTTTAAAGTATGATCTTATCACCCATACTAAATGACATGGGTTGGAATTAGGGTTAGTGTATTTATCACATGTATCTCACCCTTCGAATATCAATTTTATTAACGGAAACCATATTCGTCACCGCGTAATATCAATATCAGATGATCGGATAAAATCGTTATAAAGTTTGATCTAATATAGTTGATATATAAGATAATTAGTAATTTTATTTATAAGGGTTAAAATGATATAATAATTAAAATAAGTAGTTGAGTTGAGTTGAAAAGAATTGATGATGAAAAACCAAAAAAAAAAGAAGCCATCGGACACACGTGAATTAAACCTTTGTTTTTAATATAAAATAAAATAAAAATTTAATTAAATACATGAGAATGAGTATGCATATTTGGCATATTTGTTTGTTTGGCGGGAGGGAGAATAAGTTTTTTGTAAATAAAATAAGTAAAGATCATCGGAATACTGTTTTTTTTTCCTTTCTTTTTTTTTGATGAGAAGAGAGGACCATTATATATGGGGGACAAAATTGATTTGTATTTCAAAATTGAGATAGATGGCTTATCATTTTTTGAATTAGTCTTAGTGTAGATGTTATAAATGTGTCGTTTTATTAGTGAAAGTATTATAATCGGTAACATTTTATCATTGATTTAATTGGTGTTTATCAATAAGGCACTGAGCAATATAAAAATATAAAAAAAAAATTTTTGACATTTATCATTTACCATGAGATAACATGAGATATTTTAATGTAATAAATTATAATCGGAATTAATAGAATTAAATAATTTTACTTGGTATACAAAATGATCTTAATATTGTTCTGGATTTTTTTTTGGAACGTATTTTCATAAAATTATTTATTAATAATATTAACAATGATAATGATAATTTTTAAAAAGTATATAGAAATAAACTAAAACTTAATTCATTCAGAAACGTATACATTATGTAATGATAATGTATATATTATATACCAAAAAAAGAGTTAAATGTGTTGTTTACCTAATATTCCCAAATAATGCCTCTAGATAAAATAAGTAGGATTTTCTTTTTATACTTATAATAAGGACCCCAAATTTTTTTGCAATTAGTAATATACAATGGCTATAATGGGCTATGAAAACCAAAAAGTATGACCCATATACTCTGGTATTACCCAAATATTGTTATTTTAAAAACAAAGCGTCTATCGCTTTTATGACTATTTTGTTAAAGACTTTCCAAAATAATAATTTTGAATTCAAGAAAAAACATATAATATAAAATATAATATAAAATATAATATAAAATATAATATAAAATATAATATAAAATATAATAAAATATTAATAAAATATTATTAATTACTGAAATACCCTTAATAATGTGATTTTCACAAAAAAGGAATTACATACATATTACTAAATAATGATGAAAAATTATATAAATTAAAAGATATTAAAGATATTAAATGATTAAATTGAGACAAAATGTAAAATATAAAATAACTATACTATATAATATATATTATATCTTTTTCCAAAATCCAAATCAAAAATAATCCTAAACTAATTTCCCATAAAAGATTATTATATTCAACGTATCCTTCCCTTTCCCAGGATCCTCCACATCCATCAAGTTTATATAAATACCAAGGTAATCTTCGTTTAAAACTTGATCGAGGATAATAAATTTCTGGTAATTTAAATCGAATCTTTGGTGTGATCATAATCCATTTACTTTTAAATCTATCAAGTACCATATCAACTTCTCTTTGATCAAATCCACCTAAATCAATTAATGTTGAATGATTTTGAATTGAGGAAAATATTATTGATGAAATTTTAAGATGTTTTACGCATCTTCCATGTTTACTTAAAAATATTGGACCTGAAGATCCTGAAGGATTATTACCACCTGTTGTTAAGAGGTGATCAAGATTGTTGGCTTCCAATGATATTAAATATGAATATCCGAAATTGATAAGACTTGTCAGAAATGAGAGAACATATAGAAGCCCTATTATATACAAATAAAATATTGATCCTCTTTTTAATTAAATAAAAAATAAAATAAATAAAAGATGCGAAAATTATTTGTTAATTATTCAATTATTTTTAAATCATTTAAAAAAAAAATTACCCAAGAAAATTGAGAACAAACTTTAATAACAATAATTTCAACATTGAAATTTGTTGAAATATTGTTATCTATAGTCAGATATAGATAGATATATAGATATATATAGCATATAAAAGTTATCTAAAAAAAAAAAAAGATCCTTTCGCTTCAAGGAAGCGAATCAAAAATAACATATCATATATGGGCCGATTGGTTTGATTTATTATTATGGAAAATGTGATTAATAAGAGGATAAAACATGATTGCACGTGATTTTAAGTGATTATTTAGTAAAACAATATTACTTTGTTTAGTTTTTCTCATGAGTTTCTCATACAGTAATAGAAAGCATAGGGATAGTTTGTTTTTATTGGCCGGTATGATCAACAATCTCGTGATTGACATGATGATCAAAATTTCGAT